TGACCCAGCGCTGAGGGATCTGGTGGAGTTGGGAACGGTCAGGGTGAGGGTCATGGTTGGACTGGAGGAGCTTCAGGATCTTTTCCAACCCTGATGATTCTGTGAGTGGGGAGGCATTCAAGCTTTTTTTTTTTTTTTTCCTTCTCCTGCTGTCCTGCTGTTGGCAGCGCCACTGGCCTGCCCTCCACTGCTAGAGCAGCAGAGCAGCTGGCTGATGAGGGGGCCAGGGTACCTGTTCAGCTGTGCAGGCAGGGAGCTGGTGTGCTGCAACATAAAACGCTGCGCTGCCAGATGGTGTGCACAGCTCGTGGCAAGAATACTACTGTTCACAGGATGTGAGCCTAACTCCTAGAAAAAGGAGCTGAACATAGGAAAGGAGGGACATTACACTTCTAAAACAGGTTAGGTGGATTTCTGGCTGTGGTCTGGGTCCCTTTGCTTTAGAACCAGCAGGGGAAGCTCAGTAATAGAACAATGAAACTCAGCTTGAATATTAAGAAGCAGTGTGTGCGCACACACCCCCCCCCTCTGTTTCTGGAAACTTTGTGCAAATAGTAATTTAAAGAAAAGTACTAAAGGCCTTTAGGGAATGCTCCCTTCCCTCTCTCTGTTGATGCATACTGTTAAATCTTGGGTCCCAGAAGAAACTAGTCTGATTTCCATGCAAAAAACCCAACCCCATGTGAGAGTCAGGAATGGCAAAGGATTAGTGCGACACCACACAACGTAAACATCACTGTCAGACCTTTGTGGAGTCTTTCTGCTTGTCCTTAAGTGCTCTGACCCTGGAGACTTTAAGAATGGCAGAGTTTTCTCCATGGTTCAATCAACAGTGTGGATTATTTGCAATACAGGTGACTATCTGTGTCACAACAGAGTTTAGGCTAGTTCTGGAGCTGTAAAGAACATCACCTGGCAGCAGGAGCACTAGGAAAGGGTTCACCTTCTTAGCAGCTGTACTATGATTGATTGCCCCTGCTGCTCTGAGGATTTGAATCTCTTTGGCTTTGCTGGATGATGTTGCTCCATCAGCCTGCTAAGACCCTTTCCCCTGCTCTGCAGGGATCTCGCATCAATTCCAGACACAATTGCTTTGGACAAGAAAACACAGCGGGGCTGTGCAGGACTTTGCAGGCTGGAACTTGAACAGATCTCGCTTGTAGTGGGGGTAGAGTTACCAGCAGAGCAGGTGCCCGCTCTGTGCCTGTTGTGTTTAGTTACCAGAATGTGACTGCAGAAAATAAAAGTCCTGGTTCACTGGCATTCTTAAATAGGTGGTTTGGCACATACCTTTGCGTATTTATAGATGTTAACAGAGTTCTCCATGCTGATGGTCTGGGCACAGAGGATTTCACAGTGTCTCTGGAGGCCGTCCAGTTGAAACAGGCTGGCAGCGGACAACAGCTATCAGGACAAGAGAGAAGCTATTTGAGATCATGAGCCTTGGAAGGCTTTTAGGGAAGGGAAACAGACAGAACTGGTGATTTCCTCTCTGAAAATTCCCAACTCCCTGTTTTAAGGGCTGAGTCCTCATGAAAGAGCAGAAAGGCCACTCCATGCCTAGCTAAAATGACAGATTGCCCCTCTTAGCGAAGGCTTGCTGCTCCTGCAGGAAGTGCATTTGTGCTACCTTCTGTTAGCATGACATGCGAGCTCTATAGACTGCTCAAACCCCCCTTTCCTCTCTTAAAATAAAATGTGTGTAGTCTTTAGCTGCAACCTTTAATTTCACCAGACTACTTGTGACTGAGCAGCATCATTGTAAAAGGGCCTGTTTGTAACAGGGAAATGCTCTTAGCCCAGTCGTTGCAGCACCATCAGCTGCTCTGCAGAAGTTCAGCTTGAAATCGGTTGTTTCTCTGCACTCCCTCGGCGTTTGGCCTGCTGTGGGCACCGGGGCAGCTCCCTCCTCCCAGGACAGAGGGGATGTGGTGCAAAGCAGCCTTCCACCCTGCTCAGGGTACCAAAACCACCTTCGCGATTTCCCTCCCTGCTGCTGCACACCCCCACCATCTTACAGACATAATAAAACATAATTAGTAGTTCTTATTTACAAGCAACTGTGTATTTTGAAACATTAAGCTCATTTCAAAGTGTTAAGTGTGCTCCTGGATTGGACGCTTGCTGTTAGCTCCTGGACTTTGCCTTTCAAGCTCCATTTATGCCCTAGTGCACTTGGCAAGACTTAGAAGAAAATGCTCTCACCTCTAAGATATCAGTGGTGGGAATTTCCATAGATTCTGTTCCTCCGTAGTATAAATACTGCATCAGCATCTGAAATGGGAAGAAGGCCAGGTGTGAAGCTGTGAGCCCTGCACTCACAGGAGGCTACGCAGGGCTACGCTCTCCTGAGCAGCCGGGAATGGCCTGGTCTGCTGGCTCTCGCTTCCACTCTTGGCTTTTCTTTCTAGTGTTGCAAATCTGCTGCTTTCTAATACTCTTTTCTTCCTCGGGCTCTGAAAAGGGCCCTGATGAGGATTTTAGGCCGAGGGTGACGGCGTGTCTCTGAGCAACACGAATGTCCTTGTACAAGGGTTCCCTGGATTGGGTTTTGTAAAGCCGCACAGGCGGGTCTCAGGCAGAGCAGCCAGCGAGCTGGAGCACTGAACCGGCCGCGCCATGAGCCACCAGCATCTGTGTCTCAGGGACCCCCCAGCCACTTGCCCGCCCCGCTGTGCTTCTAATCAGCTTCCAGCCCCCCATCCGGGCCAGAGGAAAAGGCCTAATTGTTTGCAGAGAGAGCAAGAGGCAGCTTCTGCTCTTTGATCTACATGTGCGCACCCCCAGCTCTGTCTTTTCTGCGGGGGGACTGGATCTGCTGGGGGAAAGGGAAGTTGTGCCAGTGTCCTGGGCACTGCGTGAGCAGGTGTGGGCACTGCACGCTCCGCTTACCATTTCTAACAGTAGTGATATCAAAACTAAGCTTCTACTTTTAAAATTGCCTTATTTGTATAATGGAATTAGAGGGGAGCAAAACTGCTTTCCAGCAGAACCCTGAGCAGATCTCTGGTGGCTCAGCATTCTCCATGCACCAGGACTGCTGTAGAATGCCATCGTCCCCTTAACTCATCTGATTTTATTTACCATCAAATTGTTTAATTCTGTGAAGTATTTCACTAGTTTAATTCAGCTTTAGAAACCTTTGGATGCAAAAATGTTATTAAAGAGCTTGTTTCAATATACATTTTTTGTCATGGCCTGAGCTGCAAAATTTGAGTGTCACCTATCCAACACAAAACCCATGTAGCCCCTTTCAGGTAGAATAAGATGTTCGTAGGGTCAACTTCCTTCCGTCTACGTGAGATGACAGTTCTGCTGACCAACAGCTTTCTGGTCTGTTTGCTTATAGAAAAAGGAAAAGCCTCAACCCTGTGGAGAAACAGTTACAGAACCTGTTCAGCACTTCAGCTTTCTCTGTTCTGTCCCTTCCAAATCTGAAATGCAGATCTGGAAAGCTGGAATAACTGAACTATCACATTTCACTGACTTCTTTGTTTCCTTGGGTGTGTGTTAAATAACCCACCTTCCATCATGACTAAACCTCCCTTAGGTTTATTAAATAGGGAAATGTCATAAAAGCAAAGTGCAGTTCTCAATTTTGAGCTGTTCCTGAAAGGGACGCCATTGATTTCTGATCATTTGATTCGAATCACTATGCAGCCTGGCAGTCTACCTGCTGTAAATAAGTTTATTTTTGCTTAGCACAGTATGAAAGTGCTGTCTTAAAAAGTATGAAACTACTTTCAGTAGAAGATGAGATTCTCCTGCATTGTGGAGTCATCGGCTGCCTAGTAAGAAAATGAGAATATAGGCTGGAGGTTTCTGTTCTAAGGTTGGTCCTAGCTGAAAAGTTTTGAGAAAGATCTAAATACTCCTGAAATACTGGTATGTTGAAGTGAATATCTCTACTTGTAAATTACCTGTGATAGTAAGCCTTTGCTTAGTCTCAGCTTCCAATTATGTGAGAAGATAAAAAGAATAAAGAAAAGGTAGAGTAAGTTACATACCTTGAAAATATTGTATTTCATATCGCTGATTTCAACAGTCTTGCTGCCATGGCTGTCATGTTCTGTTTTATTGGTCATCAGCGTCTTAAACCTGAGAATAGTTTTAACAGATTTCTCTATTAGTGCTTCACATACTCACTGACGAACAGCCTAAGCAAGGGGAGAGTACAGATCCTTTCTTGTTTCTGTTTGAACAAGGAAGTTGAAAATGGAAACATTTCTTTCAATTTAAAGAGAATTAGTTTAGAACTTCAGGGACAATTTAACCTGTAAATTAGTGGGGTCTGATCCAGTCTTACCCTGTAATAGTTGCAAAACACTGTTACTATGCCAGTAACAGAGAAAGAAACTACTGACTGCAAGTGTACCAGGTCAGGGGTGAGATTTCCAAGAAATCTGGAGCAAGCGTAGCTCCAGCTAGCAAACTCTGCCAGGGGGAGTGGAAAGGCAGTGCAGGGCTGGGTATGCACCCTCCAACTGCTGCACGGGGTTTTAGGGATAATTACTGGTTAGTTTATGTCAATAGAGCTCTGGGACTCTAACACATACTAGGAGTGGCTAGAAAAACTCATCTTTACTCTCCTACTATTCTTAACAGTAGCAGAGATGATGTGGCTTGGTCCTGCAGACCTGAATTTTGGGGTGTAGTCTGTATCCTCAGCAGTGAGGGAGTGAGAGCTGGTCACACAAACAAGACACTAAAGGGGCAAATCCTCCCCAAACACTCAGCTGGGGGAAGCAACTCACCTGTTAGATGCAGTAACCAGCAGGACTTTGTGTGCATAAAATAGCTTTCCTTCTACTAAGAAAGTTACATCAGACATTTCTTTATTGTTTAGGAAGTGAGGATCTGTTAGGGTAAGAAGAAAAAAAAAGGTTTTTTTTTTGAAACTGGATGCTTTAAAAAAGATTTAAAAACCAAAATCACAAGAACTTCACTCTTTGGGTGAGCATCTTACCTAGCCGAGCTGGCAGTGTCTTCCGGATTTCAGGAATGCTGGGTATCGGGCTGGTGCCGTAGCAGTGGGTGAAGATGGACGCAAGCTGCTGATTGATGGAATCATTCTGTGAGGAAGATGGAACAGGTATCACCCATTGATCAGCACTTTGCATTGAGCAGGTTTCAAACTGCAACAGCTCACTTGAGGCTTATAGCGACTCTGCCTGACAAACATAACCCCCAAACAGAGGGACAGGAGCATGATCTGAACGTGGTTCTCTCAGCAACAGTTTACGAGTCAAACTGTGTCAAGAGAAAGAGTCTGGCAGCAGCAGCTCATCCTTCCCCCTCTGTCAGAGCCAAACCCGCAGGTGTGTGCTCAGCAGGGCTGGATTCATATTGGCTCATTGTCAGATGCCAAGTTCCAGCTCCCAGTTTTATCTCTTGCTTTTAATACAATGCATGTTGTAGTGATCAATTACGGAGGTCTCAAGAGCTGTACACATGTGTATATATACACACACACAGACTCCCCAGTTTGTGCATTTCAAACGTCTCCCATCTACGGTCAGAAGGCAGCATCCCCTGCCCAACAGGAAGGGTCACAAGAGAACAGGGTAGGGACTGGGTGAACTTATCTGCAAAGTGGGGCAATCTCAACTATATACCACAGATCAAATCTGTTGTGGACATGCCTTGAAAAGCAAGGGAAAACCAGACACAGGCAACTTTTAAATAAAAGACAGAAGTAGAAGGAAAATGTTGCTGAATAAAATCATTGTTCAGAAAACTCCAGAAGATATTGCTGAGAACCTTAATTGCCCAGTTCTGTATTGATAACTCTTCCTCTTACATTCCCGTGGTTTCAAAAGCCAGTTCCTGAACTGGACTTTAACAGAACAGCCTTCATTTCTACTGAAATTACTGTGAGAACTGCTTTTGTGGGCTGTATATGAGTTCAGATAAGTGCTATCAGGGCCCTTTTCATACCATAACTCATGAGGCACTTGTAGGCATTCATGTGTTCTTGAGCACTACCTTGTACAGTAGCAAAAACACACACTCGACACTGATATTGTTACACAACTAATAATTACCTTGCTGGTTTTGAGGATATCAAACATGAGCTGCAACCCTTCGTTAACCAGTTCTTCATTATAGTCCTCTTCTTTAATGGTGACAAATTCCCGCAGGAGGGTCTGTACGACTGAGTAACGGGACTGGTAGAAGGTTGTCCGCAGGGACTCGATCCACACGTGGAGCTTCCATGGGACCCCTGCAGCCACAGCACAAAGGACAGTGGAAGATGATGATGTGCTGAAGTGCCTGGGAGTGGATTGTCCTGCTGCTGTTACCAGCACTGCAGGAGATCCTTACATACATCCGAACAGCAGAAACATTTTTGTCTTGGTATTAAAGATGACCCAGTGATGTCATTGATGAAGGGACAAGAGCAAAGGATTGGTACCAGGGGCATAAGTTGGAACTTTCTGCTGATGGGTCAGGACCAGAGGCTCCCTACTCTGTATTTAGCTTCATGATTAGTCAGAACTACAAAATAAATTAGAACTGATCTTGTAAGAAGAATACCTAGCCCTACACAAACATGGAGTGAGGTCTTTTCCCCCTGGTTACCTCTAACAGTTTAGACAGAGCAGCTTCAAAGCTGTTCTTTTCATCTTAAATTGTTTAATCTCTGGTGTTGTCTCTGAGACCAGCCTCTAAACACTGAATTTTAGGTGTCAGAGTATCTGACAAGGAGACGCCCCTTGCTTTTGATACTTGGAAACAGAGGATCCAGCCAAAAGTGAGGGACATCCCAGATCAGTAGGAACTGAAAAAGCCTGTAAGGAATCTAAACCACTTTTTTATTTAAATTAGACAGCTGGTTCCCATAAGCTCGGGATAGCTTTGCAGTTGGGGTTACAGGTTGTTCTCCAAGTGAAAGGGGCAGAGGAAATAAGCTTTTTACACCTTAAATGTGCACAATATTTAAAATAAACCCCTTACCAAGTGCCCTGAGCTCCATGGTGATGTCTACATAGCCGTGCTCAGCGCTGTAGTACATGGCCTCCTGCAGAGCCTTCATTCTTGTTTTACAGAGCCTGACTTGCCCCTCACTGGAGCTGCCCTGGCTGGAGGTGTCACTCTCCACTCCCTCTGCTAAAATCTCCTCCAGGGAGAGGACATCTCCCTTCAGTTGCTGGGGCTGGGTCAGGAGCTTGCGCAGAACGTTCCTGAGGAAGAAGTGGAGATATCCCTTATGAATAAATAAAACGCCAACAATTCAGACAGGACTGTGGTGATTTGGGTTTAGGGGTCTGGCTTAGTGAATAATGATTTCCTTTCCAAAACCAGATGTCTGGCAGATACAGGGCAGCATTTAAACCACTTGTCCTCCCTTGTCCCACATGTGAGAAGTTGATGCCCTGGTAGCAAAGGCAAAAGAATGGAATGTGCTCCTGTACCTTCATGGCACCGGGGCGTGTTTGAGTGTGAGGGCAAAGTGGTTTGACTGCAGTCTGTACGTCAGCATTCTGCTGCCCCTGAGTGCAGTAACATCTTAAGCTCTGCAGTAAGTTTTACCAGAGAGCCTGTTAGAACCCCTGAGGTTTTCCCAAGCAACCACCTTTGAGCACGGTTAGGTTGTTTCAGTCAGACCCGCTTCCTGTATCTGATAATTCTGCATCACTAAATCCAGGGAGAGATTCTTTTTGGTTTGGAATTTCACACAGCAGTTGCAAGAAAGAGGCTTTCTTGTTTGTGTCCAGCCGCTGTAGAAAGCTGCGTGGCTGGTGTCCCTGCAGACAGCTGGGGCCAGCTGCAGCAGACATTCCCCAGCCCAGCAAATCCCCCCAGTACTCGGCTGTGACGCTGAGTTGCCACTAGCTGGTGCTCTCTTTGCACCCACACCGATCAGTCTGACTAAAACTAGTGAATTTTGTGCTTTTGGATCACCCTGCCCTGTCCGACTGGCGAACAAGCCTTGAATTTCACAGTTTGCACAAGACTGTGGGAGGGGAAAAGAATTGGGAACAGAACAGTGTTTGTGGAGTCTTAGGCTGTAAATAACTGCATTAGGCCGTTCCAGCTTGGCAGAGTTTGGGCCTGGGCTATTTTCCCTGGTGTATCCAGATGTGCGACATACCTGGAGGAACAGTTTTGGCACCACTGTAAGGCACAGCTGTGTTCAAGCAGGGTAGCTACTATTTAACCTGCTACTTTCTGTAAGACCCTGCAGGTATCTCTCAGCCCACCTACATGGGTGGTTTCAGGGCTGTTTTAATTGGCTTGTTACGCTCACTTTTTTTTTCTGGGAACAGAAGGATTTCTGGATGAGTTTGTAAGTAATGTCTTATTTCTAAAGGACTACCCTGAAAACAGGGTTTGAAAGCCCAGGCTGGCTTTTCAGCATTTTAATAACTTATCTCTTGGTAGCCATCCAAAAACCAGAGATACAGTCAGCTAAATCCTACCGCAGATTATTTTTTCCACCTTAACATGACTAGATTCTGTCTCAGAACATGAACCATACTCTCATAACCTACCCACAGGGGGAACTTAGTTTGCTCATGTATGGCCTAGAACCAGCTCTTACTCTCTCTTAGTGCTGCAGAACTAGACCAGTGAGAGAATAAGAAAAAGCAAAGATCTTTCTGTTGTTTTGTGCTTTTGACTAAAACAGAATCCCCTTCTGTTATCAAAGTTATAGTTGCTGATTAGTGAAAGTCTTGCATCATTTTTTCTCAGAGATGTAACAGAGAGCAACTACCAGTTTAAAGACTCTAATTCCCCAAAACGCTCAAAAGGCACTGCCTACATCCCACTCAGAGTATCTGAGAAACTGTGAGGCACTAAAAATGGTTGTTGCCAGAGTCTTAAGGCCATCTTCTGAACTGCAGCCCCAGGGACGTGGGTCTAAGACATGTAATATAAAGAAAGCCACATGAGAATACGCACAGCAATAGCCTTGGGGGGAAAAAAAAAAAAAAAAAGAAAACTGATCATGAACGGAGCTTTACCTGTGCCCATGTGCAGCTGAGTGACTGAAGCAATTCATATCTTCATGCAGCGATGATGACATCCCATTGACTTCCAGCATACTCAGGAGCGGGTCAGCGCCCCGGCTTAGCAATAAGCTGACCAGCTCATAGTTCCCTAGGGAAAAAATGACAGAAACATCATGAGGATTCCACATCTGTTCCCTCTTTGAAAGCAGGTAACAGAGGACTGGAAACAGACACTGCACCAGCAGCTTCAGTGCTACCAGCGAAGGCTTTCAGAGCACCCTGCAAGCGTGTGTTAGGCTTAAGAACAGCTCCGGGAGAGAAACTTAAAGCACTTAAATCACCTCATAACGCACAGCTAGCTAGAGGCAGAGTGAAGGGAGACAAACGGGCCTGATGGTCCTCTCAGTGCACAGCAGCGAGCTGCATGCAGCCAGCACAGCTGGGGGTTAACGGGGGAGGCCAGGAGGGAGCCGTGCTGCGCCTGCTGCTGCTGAAAACTATCCTGCAGACCTGTGTATGGGTGCAGTCTGCGTCCAGCCAGGCCCCTCTACCATTTTCGTTAGCTAGAGTAGTGAGTAAGAGACCCAGCACAACGAGGTGCTGTCATTAGGAGGGGAGGAGGCCATTGTTTTAATCCCTTCACTACAGCCTGATACAGAGCAAGCCAGAGACTCATCTTTGTAAACACTCAAAAATGAAGGAAAGAAATCAAGGGAAAAAGAAGTAAAAACAGGTGAAAAGTGCTGAAAAACAACAGGTACTTTTAGGCTAGCACAGACTTGTTCACAGAATGCTAAACTCTTCTCCTGACAGGTAGAAGAAATGCAGAATTTTACTTGTATTTAATAAATGAATGAAACAAATTTCTTTATATAGCAGTTATTTTTCCCCAGGCTGAATTTAAGCTTGTTAATTTTTGCATCTGGAAGTTATTTAGATCCAAGACGTGCCTAGACTAGACAGTAGCTGGTTTATGTTTCTTGACAGTGCCCTGTGCAAAGTTGTTTCACTCAGCTTTACTACTGGCAGGAGGTGAGTGTTGGGACTAGTCGCAAAAGCAGACACTCATTTAGTGCCCATCAAACTCTTGCCACATGCCAACAGCTGTTAGTGGCTGCCAACCCAAACGGGGTTCCTACTACTGTTTTAGAAATGTTAAGAATGCTGACTTCTTAGTAGCCAGCTCCCTGTGCTACCCGTTTGCTCCCTGGCCTGTACCCACACTTAGATGGCAGTGCAAAGCGACTCCCGCACTGTACAGATGCTGGATCCACACGCAAGTTGTTTGTGGTGGTTCTGCGGTAGCAGGAGACAGTGTGTCCGGGCTGCCCCGAGCTTACCTGCTGCTGAAGCCAGCTGGAGAGGGGTCTCGGCGTAGTTGTCTTCGCTGTTCACGGCAGAGCCCTCAACGTGGGCACCGGCATCCAAGAGCAGCTGTGACAGACACAGGAAAGGCGAGGAGTTGAGAAAAGAGCAGCACAGAAAGAGCAAACAAGGGGCTCAGTGTTAGAAAGGAAAACCAGCGTGCACACAGAGGGACCATCTCAAAGGCTAAAGCAAAATACCTATTACAAGGCAAATTTCTCTTGTTTCCTCTCTCAGCCTAGAACTAAGATCTTCCCCTGAATGTCAATTTAGAGTTTCTTTTGCTTTACTGTGCTTTCAGTATTGAGTTTATGCTGGAAAGGTGCTCAGCTGGCAGCTTGGAGAACATCACCTTTTTTTTTTTATTTTAAACCTCCTTTATGAACATGGTTTTGCAATTGTAATCTCCTAACTCCAAAGAGCTCTGCAATCAGAGCTTCTCTTCAGCGCAGGAAGTCTCTCTCATTTAGTTTCACGCTGTGTGCAGGAAACGGGGCACCTCCAGGGAATTAGCCCTGGGGGCCAAACATCCCTCTTGGGCTCTTGGGAGGAGCCCTGGCAGCGATTTGCCACCCACAGAACCTGCTTTCATTGAAGGCACCGAGCTCCTCGAAAGGGAAATTACCCCCCTGCCAGACGAAGGGGTGAAGGTTCCAAGATGAAGGGGGTGGCAGCATCGGGGCACCCAGAGCTCCGCTGGCGGGTGCAGGAGGGGGTGCTGCCCCTCTCCCCTTCCCGGCTCGGCTGCTGCTGAGGTTCCACCACTGGGTGTAGGAATCCAGCTGGCTGTATCCTATAATGGTGTCACAATTTCACAGTTTCAGCCATCCCCAATTAGCGATGACCTTGGCCTTGGCGCACACAGCACACACATTCACATTTTTACAATAAAACACTGCAGAGCACAACTGCTGGTTCATTTCTGTCCTGAGATTCCATGCAAGTATCACACAGTAGACCTTAACTGGAAAGGTGATTTTATACACTGATTTCAGTAAAAGCTGACATCTACCCTTTTAATAATAGTTACCAAATGAAAGAAAAAAAAAAGTAATCTTTATAAGTTTTAACTAAAATAAAAGAAACAAACACTGAGTAATGCAGTCCAAGAGGAGCTTTGATATACTTGGCTACATCTCCTGGGAGAATCACGCTCTTATCTCGCATGTAAATTAAGGCTGTCCAACCTCTGTAATACCAAAGGCTGCCCCGGCAATTTGCCAGGTGGGATCTAATCTTTGTAATTATTTACAAATGCACACAAACAAAAAATGAGTGTGTGCAGCCTCCATTTGCTTAAATCCCTTTTTTTTCCCTCCCTTTGAGCAGAAGGTAAATTAAATTCACCAGCAATTGACTATCTGCTGTGATCAGTTTTGAATTCCTCTTGAAGTTAGGGTAGGATTTCCAGGACTCCACCCCATTCCGCTGCCCCCAGGCCTTAGTTCCCCAGAAAAGGGAGTGGGGAGGATGCTAGAGGCTCAACTACCCCATCAGCCGAAGCCTTGTTCGTGCAATTCTCAAGGATTGTGAAGGAAGTTACAGATCATTTGCTGCCATTAGAGCAGAAATCAGCATACACTGAATTTCTGAAAATTTATAAAGCAATTAACATCTAATGTCAGAAAGCATCCTGATCAAGCGCTCTACCTGTAACCACTCCACATGAAGCGCTAGTTTATCTAATAGCAAAGAAAGGATTGTGCAGTGTTGTTCTGGAAGTGGTAAGCCATGGACCAGTACTGAAACCAAAGAAAAATAAGGAAACAGACTGTGTTTCATCATCGAGGCCTTGCTATGCATTGTGTCATCAATTCACAGTTTCCCAAGAAAAGCATCAGTTGCATTCTTATTTTCAATGGTGCAATTTTCCACTGGTTTTTAGAAGGCTTCCACCAAAGTGCACAGGGAGCCCGTGACGGAGCCATGCCCAGGGAGCCCAGCTGTGAGGGCGCTGCAGGTCAGGCCCTCCACGTCTCCGATAAATATTCCCGACCAGGGGGTTCCCTCTGCTTACCTGAACGACAGAGATGTGCCCGTGTAACACAGCAAAGGTGAGAGCAGTCCAGTGCCGGCTGTCGGGATGGACTGACGGGTATCGCGGAGAGGTACTGGGAACCTGGGGGAAGGAACCAGGTAGTCACTGGCCACTGCATTATCTGTCTGCCATAATCTTTAGACTCACATGTAACGGGCTTTTCTCTTGACAAAGAGACAACCCCAGGGAATGGGAACTTACGCCATTTAGAGAACACTGCCAGCACGAGGCACTCCGTCCAGTCCCCTGGGCCTTTTTAATGGGCTTACTGGTTTCTCCTAGTGGCAGCTCCCTCAGGAGGGAGGCCCCCTTTACACCCCCTGCCCCCCGCCTATTAGACTTGCCAATGCCAATCATAATTGGAGCCACTGAGTGCTCCGAGAGGTTTTGAAGGTTTTCTTCCCCCCTCCCAAATCCCTGAAGCAATGATTTCTGAAAGAAGTGGCTTGCTCAGAAGCTCCAGAAATGAAGCCTTCAGTTGCTAGGAGAGATTTCATAACCACTCCTGTTTACAGATGAATAATTATGGAGAGAGGGTCCTCTATTACTCACTGGTATATCTAAATTCGCTCCAGCATCTATGAGCATTTGGACCATGGCTTCATCTCCAGCAGCACAGGCATACATTAGTGGGGTCATACCCTTCAGGAAAATAGAAAACAAAGTTACCTTTCTACACCTACCAACAGCAAAACTGTCAGACACAGAGATTTTGAATCTTAACATAAAGAACAGAGCGTGTGCGGGCGTGCATGTGTGTGGGCACAACGCACTAGTGTTGGAAATCGATGTGGACAAAGCATCAGGGGACAAGATTGCAAGAATATAAAAGGGATCACTGAAAATCCCAGCCGTGTATTGTCCACAGTTCTCGAGCTTTCTCAAGGCTGCCAGAAAAGAAATACCATTTCTTGGATCATTTGTAGCCAGATGAACCGAAAGCAGAAAACAACACAAAAATACACAAGATTAATTTATTTGGCAACTTATCCCCATTGCTAAAATCCTATTTGCCACAATATTTCAGCATTTCAATCACATAAATTTCTCTCTCTCTACTCAACCAGCAAACCATGACAGCTCAGAGATGAATTATGAGAGAAATGAGCCTTACTTATGGAGTTCATGCCAGAAGTAGCCAAGGACAGAAAGGAAATGGCCTAGTAAAATCCATCCCTGCTCACATCCTACAGCTTCTCCCCCCTCCTTAATTATTGTGAGCATTTGATTTTTTTCACAGGCAGCATCTCTGCTGCTCATTGTGTAATAATACAGCTTTATCTTTAGAGAGGGACGTGGATCGTATAATAGAATTACAACTCACACTGAGGAGTTCTGATCTTGTATCTGCAAAGGTGTCTTTTCAAAACAGCCACAATTCCAATCTTCCTGCATTTGAGGCAGTTACACACATTTTCAGAGATGTTTCAGGGTGGGGAGGGTGACTCTCTTTGGCTTTTGGGGGGCTTGGTAGGATCCACTCATTATGGACGAGTAAGAATTTAATACTCGGGTCTGCATGCACAAGCCCATATTTATTGCCACAGTCAGGGTTCTAAAACTACCAGGTTTGTATAGACTTGCCGTCCCTTTTTGGTTTTTTGTTTTTGATTTGTAATACCAGTTTTGCATTCCCTGCTTGTTCCTCAGTATGCAAAGGGAAGAAGAGATCTTTTCCTACACACCTCAAATCCTGTAAAACCAGAGTGCTGCTTGGCCTCCACTAAAAGTGAATACAGGGTCCTGCTACAAACTCAAGTTTCTGCAGATATGTTCTGAATTCTCTTCTTCTCTCCATACACATATATGTAAAAGTGGGTCTGAACACATGCCTCAACATTGGACACTGTCACATTCTGGAAATGGTCAAAATCTGAACCTGGATCTAAGGCCTGTACATTAAATAAATCCAACAGTTCTGTCTACTGTAGGATTTGCAAGAAAACTTTTGCTGTACTTGTCTGGTGAGAGGTGGTCACGTGTGTTTGTGATGCCTCAGAGGTGCCTGCCTACTGTGCAGTGTGCTAAGATGACACATCATAACCAAAATAAATCAGGATATAGGAACTGAGCTTACCAGGTGCCAGTGTTAAACGTTCTTCACAGAATCCCAGAATCATCTGGGTTGGAAAAGCCCTTGAAGCTCCTCCAGTCCAACCATGACCCTCACTCTGACGGTTCCCAACTCCACCAGATCCCTCAGCGCTGGGTCAACCCGACTCTTCAACCCCTCCAGGGATGGGGACTCCCCCCCTGCCCTGGGCAGCCCATTCCAACGCCCAACAGCCCCTTCTGCAAAGAAATCCTTCCTCAGAGCCAGCCTGACCCTGCCCTGGGCAGCTTGAGGCCATTCCCTCTTGTCCTGGTGCTTCTTCCTTGGTTCAAGAGACTCATCCCCCCTCTCTGCACCCTCCTGTCAGGGAGCTGTAGAGGGTCATGAGGTCTCCCCTCAGCCTCCTCTTCTCCAGACTAAACCCCCCAGTTCACTCAGCCGCTCCAGACCCTGCCCCAGCTCCATTGCCCTTCTCTGGACACGCTCGAGTCATTCAATGGCCTTTTTGGGGTGAGGGGCCCAAAACTGAACCCACTCATCGAGGGGCGGCCTCACCAGTGCCGAGCACAGGGGTAAGATCCCTTCCGGGTCCCTGCTGGCCACGCCATTGCTGATACAAGCCAGGATACCACTGGCCACCTTGCCCACCTGGGCACACTGCTGGCTCCTGTTCAGCCAGTTCTTGTCCTACAACAGGACAGAGACCTGCTTTCTGTTGCCATGCCTAAGTCAGTTTTTCCCAGTTTTGGCATCTGGCTTTGGCTCATTCCTTTACATAAGGGCAAAACAAGCTAGCTGCAAAGTTCAGAGGGGGTTTCACATTCCAGTGATGGCAGAGTTCACTGCTGGCCTTTGGATTTAACTCTATCTGCAATTGATAGTGCAACGGAGGACACTTGTGTAGCTACGGAGATAAGTTGCTCCAGAATCAAGGAACTGGAGAATTTGAGAGCCACAATGTCTCCAGAGGGAGCCTGTCTTGCCCTCCTTGGTCAGTGCCAAAACACTGCTTTGAGCCGTGGGAGCTGCGTTCTGTAGAGCCACCAGCTCGCTATGGTCCCCCTGTTCACAGTAGGACTGGCTAGCAGATGACATCAATAGCATGACAATAAATAATCTGCTTTGAGAGAACAAAACGCCTCCAGGCTACATAAATAACTGCAAAAACTTATGAAAAAAAAATAAATACAGGAAGTAAGAGGCAAACCTTCATAACATAAATCTGCCACTTTTGTCACTTTAATAAAGTCGGTATCAAGGGCACCTATGATGTGATACCCCACCTCTGTGACCACAAAGCTTCGTGTATTGGATATGTAAACAAGGCAATTACATACCTAGGTAGAAGCTTGTGCAGGAGTAGTTTTTAGCTGATATTTGTCTATACATTCACACTTCCCTTAAAACTGCAGGATGGTGGAAATCACCATGAAGCTGTGCCAGTTTCAGAATTCGGTTTGAAATGCTACTGCAGTGAAATGCTGTCTACGAGAAAGCCTCTCTACTTGAACATAAATCCTTCCCACGGCTAAATATCCTATTGTTTCTGAGACATGACAGCTCATTCTCACTGCTGTGACAGCTACGAGTGTTTATTTGGGGGAGTTTGTAAGCTAATTCCAGGCATTGAATGATGCTCCAGAGAACAGACTCCACTGTTACTTGATGGGACTGACAGCACAAGCAGAAGCAGCTCAAGGCTCCCCAGACTCCCAAATCCCCATGGTTCAACGTAGCTGAGCACTGAGCAGGGCAAAATGAAAAACCAGACCCATCAGCTTGACAGACTTTCACCAAAGCTAATACTGAGTGATACCCACGCTGCGGGGGTTCTCGGTGCTGTTTCTATATGCCCGACTGTACTGAGAACAAGTAACTCGCTGTGCGCCTGAAAGCCATCAGACAGTAACACCTTTTGGTCACTCATCACTGACCCAGACTGGATTTGGGCTGTTGAACCAGAAGAGAGTGTCAGTGGCAAAAACCACTTTGTCTTGACGTTGTCTTAGCATTAAGGCAACATCAGACTTTCCATTTGCAGCCAGCATATTAACCTGTCTTCCATCAGTGTCTGAGAGAGGCCATCCAAAGAGCAGACCTACACTCCAGCTGATAAAGAAACAATTCACTCCAGGCTTTGACTGGCTTTTTTGAGGGTTATGTTTTTGTTTGTTTTTAAGGGACACATTTTCAGGCTAAAACACAAGCTAGAATTAGAAAAGCCTTGCAGAGGCAGCTACCATCTCATGTAATGATTTGCCACATAGAAAGGAACACACAATTTGTTCATGCAAAGAATTTGTGTGTGTGTGGCTGTATGGCATACCTGATCATCCATGGTGTTAACCCCGTCAGGCCCCAGCGCATCGATTGCTTGGTTGATCAGATCTGTCCTCCCACAGTTTAGCATTCGGAAACCCAGATCCTGCTGGAATCTTTCAGTAGCAGCCTTAGCGTCCAGTCTCCGGAAGGAACTAAAGCAGCATTCAGGTCTGTGAAAGGCAAAATGATTTCTGGTTTGGTTTTTTCTTTTTCCCCTTTTTTTAAGCCCTGTCTCTTACAGAAATAAGGCTTATGAGTTTTCATGGGTTTACCTATCATATTATTGCCTTCATATTATACCTATCATTGCCTTCCCTACTGCATAATAATTTCTGAAAAATCTGGCTAACATCACTCATACTGGAGATGAAAGTTTTAGTTCTTAGAGAAACACAGTGAGTTCATGTTAAAACTGAAAAAAAAAAAAAAAAAAAAGTGTCCAAGAGGAACCTCGTTACTGCCCTTCTTTGAGGGAAAGGTAGGAAGAAGACCTTATTCCTTGGCAAGAGTTGTATTGTCCACCCAGCCCCTCACTCCAGGGGTGGCTCTGGACCAGGCACTGCTTCTGCTACATCTTACCCAGCAGAAAGGAAGCGATGCTGGAATATTCCCACACTGGAACGGGGTTACAGTGGCACCGAGGCTATTCTGGTGGGACCAGTGTCACAGGCTGAAAACCTGCAGCAACCTGGTTTCCTTAGTTCTGCTTCTCACTAAAAATCCCCACCAAAACCGAGCTGCTTTAAATAATTAGCTGTATATATTTTGGGTATCGTATTTGTATTTTCCTGCTTGTTACAGGATATTCCATCAAACATATACAAAAACATATTGCAAGGAGGAGAAACAGGTAGAGAGGAAAGTGTATCTAATAAAATACCATTTAATTTTAGGATGGAACAATTATGCTGTCTGTCCACCAGACTAGTTATTACTTTGAAACAAGAGCCATTTCTGACAGAAAATAATGATCCTTATTATTTTTTTGGAAAAGAAAATAAAAATTAAAAAAGCATATTAAATTAAAATTAAATTTAGGCAGTAGAACATTCTTTTTTCCAACACCTGGATGAAAGGAAGTGTGTTAACAATTCTATGAAGCTCTATTAAATCCTTATCCTTTAGATGACTATCAAATGACCTTTATCTCATTTGGAAGGAGCTCAGGGATTACTGTAAATTCTCTGGTTATCTGCTCAGAGACTTCTAAATTCCAAACCTGCAAGGGTATCTCCTTCAGTGAAGAAACACTGCCAAATTGGAGGTGTTGTCTATCTCAGCTGGGCACTGATATGGCCAGGCCTTTGATGTTATTTCAGGGTGAAAGCCTCCTCTACTAGTTGACTGGTTTTCAGCACAGGCTCTTGTGCAGCTCTCAGTGAGCGAGATACCAGCCTGCCAGCTTCCTTTGAAAAATGAGAGTCTTTCAACAGGGCTAACCTCTTCTGGAAACTTTGTATGGCCCGCCAGATAAGTAAAACACTCATCACTTCACGTAAAAGATTCAAGATGAATCTTATTCACGTTTTAGTTCAGCTGGTCATTTTTTAATGCTTCTGAACTCGCACTGATGGTGGATGACAAATGGTGAGCAGATGCTACGAACAATACGCTGAGTTAACAAAGATCCCTGCACAGCCTGGTGACCAGTCACATTGTACAGGGGAAACCAGGATCTCACCACAGCTGCTTTCAGAAAGGAACTGCACCAGGCTACAATGTGGGGAACGGTCAGCAGCGACCCAAAGTGACAGTTGTTCTTTGGAGATACATCTGCAAATAAAACCTGTCTTTGAGGCAGCTGAGTACATGAGACAAGATCTCTGCAGCACTCAGATACACACTAGATTAGACACACAGTACAGAGCACAAGAGGACAGTAAGGTAAAAAAGGCTTAATGCTAGATATATATAAATCCTAGAGCTAGGCTAGCCAATTAATAATCTTGTTCTACTAAGGTAACTGATACAGCATCTCGATGCTACAGTATTATGTAGGATAGGATGCAATTACTTGGTATACTAAGAAGGAGGAGGAGAAGAATCCTATGCAAAAAAGTGAAATAAAATTACAACACTTGAAATCCAGTGAAGCCTCAGAAAACAAAAGGTTTTGAAGGGATGGTACCTGTCTTTGCACATTGTTTCTATTCTGCTATCAGACATGGTTCCACCCAGTGCTATTTACAGGCACTGTTGGAGCAAGGGAGGGGGTGACGGGATGGGACACACACAACTCACTGACAGCCCTGCAGAGAGAACAGCAAAACAAAACACTTGCCAGGAGCTGTCAGAGACCCAGCAGAAAGGTGGACTGGAGTTCTTGGTGTAGAGCTGCCAGGAGGCCAGGTCGGGCACAAGAATTTGCAGTTACGATTTGTGAGCTTTACTGCTGGGGGACCTGCAGGCTCAGCCCACGCAGCAGTTCCCATACACTTGCTGTTCTGTAGCGGTGGCTTGCCAGTGTGCTCTGATAGACGTAAATTTACTTTTTCTTTTAGAGTGTGATAAAAGTTAGAGCATCCTACAAGAGCTGGAGAGGGGAGAGCGCACATATGCACAACTGCTGTGCAGCAGCTGCAGTCACAGCCGGTTTTCCATGTGCGAGTTGTTATCCTGTGGAGAAGAGGCAAACTTTTGCACGCTTCCTGGGGTAAAGCCTGTGCTTCTGCAGTTGCCCAGGCAGGCAGCAGCTCCCATGTACACCCAGCTGGGCCCAGGGGATAAAGTGAAGAACTGACAGGGGACCAAGAGACATTGGAGGGGCAGAGCTCAGGGAAAGGGGTAGGGCTGAGGTCCTAGTTTGGGAAGAGATAGCTTGAGGAAGGAGCCTGAGCCTGGTGTGCTCTTTGGGTTTCATAAGCAGTAACTACTACTACAACTACTAGTAGTAAGTGATTTAAATTTGGCTTGCAATGTGGAAAAAAAAATAAAAAAGCAGTGTGTGATAATAATATTAAAATCCCAACATTTATATTTAAGTAGATGGAAAAGAAGCACAGTTCTTTGCAATCTAGCATTTCCATATTTATATTATCATTTAACCAGTAACAGGTGAGTACTGAAGATGTTTATAAATTGTCTGGCAAACAAACTCAGAGCATCATATTAGAAGGCTTCATCCACTAAGGCACTAACAGTTGTGGAAGACTATACTGCCCAAGCAGTCTATGTCAGAGAATAGGTATTAGAGGTCTGAATTTCAGGTTATACTAATTATACTTCGTTCTTCTGCGCAACCTCTCTTTCAGGGATTTCAACATACCCTACCTGATGCATCACCGCTGCAAGGAACTATCATTAGATGACTTTCAGCCTATGCATCATGAGGAAGAGAAAGTTGCAATTTGCCTATAGTCACACAGCAAGTCAGGGATAAATTTGGCTTCAGCTCCAAGATTTCCTTTTCCCCTAAATGTGCTGTAATGACCAGATACAAATGACTGCTTTAAAGGATCATATAATAGGCCCTGAAAACGAGGCATTGCTCTCTCATGGTTTTTTTTCTGCTAGTTTAAATCTTTCATGCAGCAAAAAGACAATGCTCTTCCTCTCATACCACAGACCTCAGAACATCATTAGACCTCTGAAAATAAAACTCACGCAAGACAGTTCAGAACAAAGACCTGGTCAAGCTTAACTTTGATTTTTGTCCTCTATCACAAAGGTGATGCGTGTTACTTTAAAACAGGTTGATTCACCTGCAGGGAATGCACACTACATATGTCCCTATGGAGGGCAGTCTGGGGAGGTAAAAGGTGTGAAAGGATCTCAGTTTTCTTACAGAATTGTCATTCTTTCTCTAATAACAACAAACTGGATAGAAACCTTTAACATACTCCTGTACTGCTAATCCTTAACAACCCAGCAATTGAATTATCTTATGCCTGAATATCCCACATACTGTGGCTGAGGCCCTTTATACCTGCTTCTCACTTATTTATTGCTTACATTATTTTGGACCTCCTGGGTTTCTATTGAGACCTTCATTCCATAGCTGTATCATTATGGCTTCAGTTTGAAGTTACTGAGATGAACCCCATTTTCACAAAGGCTGTCTCAAAGTGTTTCCCTTTAGTTCATATCAGCAGGAAAATCAAACACCTAAATCCCTGCCCTCTTTTATTTACTTTTTTTTTTAAGGTATAGGATCTATAAAGTAAGAAACTACCTGTGCTTTGTATATTAATGTGCACAAATAAGCAGTGCAGAGAGAGAGGGGGATGCCTTTGAAGCAGAAGGTTTGGATTCAGTCTTGAAACCAAAAGTCTTATAAAGGAGAGACTGAAAGAAAAACCATGAGACTGACTGAAGTACTTGTGATTATTTTAGTCTTCTGCGGTACCGTTCATTGAAGAATTTAAAAGGTTTTGGCAAGCATTAGGCACATATGTAAAATTAGTTTAGCCTGTATTAAGTTGCCTACACTAGTGCCTGCCATCCACACATAAGCCAGAGTAGTGTGTGCTTTGACACAGAGCACACGTACACTGGCAGAGAAAAGGGAGAAGAAAAGCGTTCCAGGACAACTCCAAGTCCAAGTTCAGCTGCTCCCTTTCATTCCGAAGCCAAGGAGTTTAAATACCTGCTGAGGATCACCTGTTTATCTTAGTTTTCAAAAAGACTGGCAGCACTCTCAGACAGTCAGGTACCACGTCTCAGGAGAAAGGCAGGACCCGAGAGCAAGTCTAGGAGTCAGCTGTACTGACAAAACATTCAGTCATCTAATTGCACCCACATACTCATTAACTAATTTAGCTTCACATTAGGTTTTGTGGGTAGTAAGTGCTACCCTTCAATTCACAGATGGGGAGACAGAGATGTAGCAAAAAGCAAGAGCCTTTTTGGCTGCCAGAAGGAAAAAGTAAAAAGCAACACAGACAGATCCAGGACTCCTGATTAAAAGCTTCTTGTTGCTTTTATTGTTCATGAAAAATAATTCAAAGAGTAAGGGCATATTTTTATCTTTTCAGGTGATCATTTCATCACTTAAGAGCATGATAGAAGTATTATTTATTGTTATTAACATCTTCCACCCACTCATTTAACCTAAAGGTATACGGGGGACAAAATTCACTCAAGAAACGACCTTGCAGTAAAGTTCAAGATGTAACCCCGATATCAAAACCAGCGCTAATGAGAGCAACTTAAAGGACTACAAACCTGAATAAAATACCTATGATGTGCTAATGAATCAAGCTAATTATAAACCTCTGTTCAATATATATGTGAGGGGAGGATTCTAAAAGGTACTGATACTTTTCATCAAGGTATCTCAAAAAGCAAAGAATAATCTTGTAATTAAGGCTACAGCATAAAAACCAAATACTTGTGTTTCAATCCTTCTCTGTCTCAGTCTGCCTACATAACTTTTGGCAAGACAAAATCTTTCTACCCCAGCTGCAGTGTTTGGCCAAAGTTTCTTTATCTTTTGGAATACTAGAATGTTAAATGTGTATCACCTGTCCAGGATTTTGAGATCTGGCTCCGGTGAAATATAGTGAGAAGAATACTGTAAGAAGTTACAATTACTTTAGCTGCTTATAAAGCTTATTCCACATACTTTAGCTGCCGGGGCTCACAGTCCAGTCCAGGTAGGAGCAGTCTGGCTGTCTGCCTGATATCATCACTGTCCACAGTTAAACTGCGCCGGTGCTCAGCGTAGGTGATAGCCACTCTCATCCACTCCATCAGCGGTGGCAGAAGCATGAAGGGCCTGTGCGAACAAGGAAAAAAAAAAAAAAATCCATCAAAGTTAACGTGGGTCTGCTATCTTGTGCTGTGATGCAAAAGCAACACTTAATTGCTTCCTGGGCATGCTTGTGGGAGGCTGGCACAGATAAAATCCACCCGCAGACTCTGTCCCTGTGCTCAGCAGGACTGGCAGGTCACAGCAGGTGGAAAGAACTGGAACTGCTCAGCCTTAGCTATCTGAACCGCTTTTTACCCCAAGGGGGGTCATGCCAGGACATGCTGGTTTCCTGCAATACATTTCACCCTGTAGGATTGAACATAAGGGACCTACTTCTACTATTAGCTATAGGTCAGGCTGCCCCAGCTCAAGGGGCCAATGCTCTGTGTTCTGGGTCAGAAGGGCTCTCATCTCAGACATGCAGTTTATATAATTATTCTCTCTGTCATTCTAAATAATCCATACATCCAGGTTGCTCTACCTCTTAATTAACAAAGATTCTGATTGTTTGAAACTTCAACTAAACCAGGCTAATTCAGTACTACCTCCACTGATCTTTATGTTACATTATCACTACCTGATGGCTTTTCACATCCTACACTTCTTACATGCCAAGCTCAGGCGGAGGCTCAGAAGAATAATTTTTGCACAACTGACCCTCTAGACCACAGCAGAACTGTTGCAGCTATGTTTTAATGGGAACTGCTTTGTGAGAGAAGAATGAGTAAATCAAAAAGAAAACAACTAACATGAAGACATCTCTATACAAGAATAGATTTACAACATTACTTACATTGTAAGCAATTTGTGGAAAAGCAATCTACCTGTTCCTAATTTGTACAGCATCCAACACAGGTTTTACTAGTACGAAAGGTTGCAAGGCAGTAAAGGAATATAAATAAGGTAATAACAATAGCAACAATGGCCATTTTGGACTAGCTTATGGAGAGGCCCCCTCTCACTCCTGCTATAAGAATGAGCACAGTACTGAAATTACACAGTAATATATAGGTACCATAATACTCATACACAACATATCTCATCCATCCATCCTCTCAGACTGATCTATTATTTGCTTATTTTTTCCCCAAGGATACCTGCCACCCTAGTGGAAGGCTCAGAAGTGCCAGCTGTAATTGAAAACTCCTTTTCCATTTCCAGTAACAAATTTATTAACTCTGGGAAAAGAGCCCTTTTGACTTAAGCATTCAAAAGAAAATAGTTGAGGGGAGAAGGTACCAATTCCTTTATAAAGTTTAGAGAAAAAAAAGATACATACCAGAAAACAGAAAATGCTTTTGGCATTAATGAAAGCAGCTGAACCCATGAAAGGCATTTTCAAAGCTGTGCATGTATATGTGTGCACATATGCGAGCACAGTAAGAGTAAGCAGCACCAATCCCGTTAGAAACCATTTATCAATAATGGGATTTACAAGCAGAACTCCCTTTGTGTGACTTTGAACATCCTTCAGGGTGAAATAGCTCCACTTGGTAAAATATGTGCCATCTGTTTCCATTTTGCAGTTGCAAGGTACACTAAAATACTGTCATTACCTCTTTACAAATCAGGGCACTATTTTTTCCCTCTGCTTCTTCTCTTTTTCCAAGTAGTGAAACAGCATCTACAAAATCAGAGGTTCTTTAAGCATCTGATCAATCCTGGATTGCCAATGCAAGGGTGTTTCTAACAGGACGTATACTTACTGCTTTCACCACTTCTACATCAAACAATCAAAATATCAGGACTGCTACGTTCATCACTTTCAAAATTACCTAGTAGCTCATCAGTTGAAAGACTTTGTGGAAGTCCAGCGTGAATCCCCCAACCCATCCAGGCTTTCTGACTTGTCCCAGACACGTGGGATGGGATGACTCCCTCCAGCACAGCCGGTTCAGAGTTGACTCACTCCCCCAAGGGAAGAGCAGCAATCTGCAACAGGCATTTGGGAGATGCCTTTCAGCACTTAGAGAGAACTTCAACCCTTATCTGGCCTACAACAGAGTCATTTACACCTTTTAAATTTAGGCACTTAAGGGAGGAGCCTAAATTAATTATCTAGACTTTCTAATTACTCAGGAGAGCCTCTCGTGTAGGATTCAAAGCTCCCAAGACCTGGTGAGGTCAGAGAGGTAGGCTAGGCAGGCTAAAAGCACCAGAATTTAATACTCAAAGGTAGATGAACACCTCAGGAGCAATGGAAAAACTCATCTTACAAGTGATTATATCTACCACCTTTTGTGGTAGATAAGCTATTCAGGCTACATCACAGCTTCCCTGACACGTTCATGGTGGGAACACTGCTGGACAGAGAACGATGCTGATCCAGCACGGTCCTTCCTGATCATCTCATTAAGTAACGAGCCAAGCCTCAGTAACTATTACACACAGCACTCGGCGGCAAGAGACTGTGGTCAGCCAACAGAAAATACCATTGAGTCTGCACCAGAAATAACACCTATCATGGAGAAATTTCCATTCTGTAAAAAAATTCACATGTGCCAGGGTTATAAATGGCTTCCATGCACAAGCAGACCTTGAATGTGGAAAACCTGGTTTGGGAGGAATGAGAAGGAGAAAGGGTTTTTTTTTGTTTGTTTATTTTTTAAATCTCAATAGATTTTTTCCAAAGGCTTTAAAACTCACAGCTCAACAGACTGCCTGGTTACCCTGTGCCCAAAGGAGAGCAGACTTTGAACTGAAAAAGAACTGTCAGGTGGGATGTTTTCCTCCTACCGATAGCCTAATTTGTCCCAACCCCAGCACTCACATTGCTGTGCAAGGTGGGTAAATTATTATTCTATCAGGAGGGACTATGACTTCAATTTCTCTTTTGCTGTAGCTTTACTTCTCTTGAAAATTTCTAGCTTGAGGATGGGCTTTCTATTCTCCCCGACACACACACACTCTCTTCTTTTATCCAACTATTTCCTTTCTTCACACTGTGCACATGGGCACGCTCACGGGAACAGCTCTGTATTACTTTGTTCACTGACACTACATTAGATAAGCAGTATTATCGCATGATCTGAGCAGATAGAGATGCAGTTCAACTGAAACGCCAACACTGGGTTGCACTGCACTAAAAATGCATTCAATTCTTCTTTTTCTAGACAATAAATGCAATTATTACCCCTGTGGCCCTTAACCTGGGCATCTATCTGCCTCTAGGGAAACACTGATCATTTCACAGTCTGAAAAACACTGGAGTAGGGGAAGGGGAGAAATCTTCATGGAAAATTAACTGGGAAATGCTGCAAGCTAAAAAATTGATTTCCATCTATGCCATGTTCTCTACTGTGCATTTTCCTCTGGACTTTCTGACATTTAGAAGCATTTGGCAGCTCATTAAATTCTGCACATGAAGTGATCCATCCCTGGGAATCTGTCACACTCACAGCAGTAGTTCACTAGGGACACATACTCTCTTGTTTTCTATGAAGAAGAATGCCACCATTGCTTTGTTCAGTTTTTTGCCATTAAGTTGTCTTCAAGTGTTGCCACATGTAAACCGGGGAAGTACACTGCAGTAGAAAGTAAAGTAGACACTGCTCATCTACCATACACCTTGTAAAGAATCGCAGTAATGTCCAATACAGTGATCTGCAGTCAATATTTTATCCATAGGTCTTTGAAATTTTCTCCCATTTAGAATTGGGCAGCCATTCCTTTCCCAAGGGGATTGGGTTGGAGCTGGGTGAGATGTGTTCTGAGAAAGAACGGACTCTATTGTGGGCTTTTTCCCCTCATATGAACCGAAACACGTTGTTTTATTTAGTCATAACTGAGAAGGATAATGGCAGCAGCACTTGGCAGAGAATTTATAGCAAGTTGTAACTTTTTCCTGGAAAATGTACTACACTCATTTGATTAGAATGGCCTAGGACATGACCGGCATGTGGAGATAATGTGTGGCAGTCCTCGAGGAGATGCTGTGGGATCACACATTTTCAGTGTTAACTCATGCATCACAAAGAAACTAGTCTCTAAAGTGGGCTCTTCTGAGGATTTAATAGCCCCAGGGCCAAGACATTTTTGGCAGAGTGAAGTTAATTGTATGCAAAAGAGGAAAGACCTCCACAGGAGTTAGCAAATCATGTCATCCTTCCTCTGACTTGAATGCTAGGACAACGCATTGGGAGCTTGACTTTTAGAGGTGAGGAACACCTGCTCTCTCAGATGAAAACAGTAGGTCTTCCCAGAAAAAACAGCCATGCTACCAAATTCCTCCCTCCTGCCTCGGTCCTCAGGAGGGCCCAGGGACAAGATTGCTGAAGAAAGTAGCAGCAAGGGAAGGAGGAGACATTTTCCCTACAGCCACCTCTCTTCTCCTCCTGTGCTATTTTTTGTAGTCTCCTGTTTTGCTACAGCAAAACAAGGAGGGAGCCAACAGTGACAGCAACATCAGGAAAGAAAGACCTCATTCTTCTAAACAAGAATCTCCTTCTTCTAAAGCAGGAAAGAAAATACTGTCCTAATGGAATCAGGTGAGAACGGCAGAATTTGCCTGCCTCTTGCAGTTTGAGCTGGTCCCAAGACACACGTGCCCAGTCTCCCATCCAGCCTGTCCCACAGTCTTCTAAATGGTTTGAACAGCTTTCTCTTCCCTTCATCTGTAACAACTGCTCTATAAGCCCCTGCTAACATTTTAAACACATGCGAACTTTAGCATGGCAAAGCACATGTAAATATGAGAACACTTATGGTCAGAGTAGGGTAGGCCATGGTAACTCCCCCACATTTGATTTACTGAAACTATACAGACACTGTGCAGAGAAGAATCCCAAATCTTTAGAGATCATTGTGGGTTTTTTGCAAGGGACTGAAAAAAGAACGGGGGCTTGCAGTACCGAGCAGTGAGGTAACGTTTGAATTTAATGCTGGAACCAAACTCTCTCCTTCAGTCCCATTTTACCCTAAAATGATAGAGCTTAAAGTCACAAACACAGAGCAAGTTAAGAACCACTATAAAAAGCTATAGCTCAGTCTCACCTGTTCTCTTCTGTTTTCTTTTTTTTTTAAAA